TATATATCGTCGTGCTCACGCTGGCGCCGCCCACGTCGGCTTCATCGAGCTGCCCACGGCGCGCCGTGGAGCCCTCCAGCTTCTGGGGCCCCCGGCTGGTCATGAGGGCGGGCGCAGGGCACTGCCGCATTATCGGAGACCCGGGCGGCGACGTCGGCCGACGCGGGCGAATGTCCGCGTCACGGACATCACCATTGAAGGGGAACTGGGACACACAAATAAATAGACACGAGAAACCAGATTCCCCCCTATACTTTTCCCATACTTTCTGGGTTTCTGTCTTCCCCCCCACTTCCCATATTTTCCCATACTTACTGGGGAATCGACGATTAATTGTGTCTGTGTGTTTTCTCCCCTCCTGAACCATCCCGCGCACGCGAGCCCCTGGCGCCCCGCGCCTGGAAGCTCTGAGGCCAGGGCTTGAGCCAACGTGGCCACGGAGGGGCTGCAGCTGGAACTGAGCTGGAGCTGGGGCTGGGGGCTGGAGCGGAGCCTGGACTGGAGCTGGGGCTGGATGTCAATGCTGCAGCTGGAATTGGGACTTGACCTGGAGCTGGGCTTGGAGCGGAGCTGGAGCTGGAGCTGGGTCTAGATCTGGGGCTGGAGCTGGGGCTGGAGCCGTGTTGGAGCTGGAGCTGAGAAGACTGGAGCTGGGTCTAGAGCTGGATGTACATAGCTTGGTCTGGAGCGAAGCTGGCGCTGAACCAGGGCTGGAGCTGAGCTGAGGCTGGCGTTGGAGCCACGCTGGAGCTGCAGCTGCAGCTGGGGCTGGAACTAGAGGCTGGGATGGAGTGGGGCCCCCGCCGATCCCTCCATAACCCCCAACAGCATCTTCCGATCCCACAGACCAGACCCAAAACGGAGCCTCCTCGTCCTCCAGGCCTTCTCCCCCCCCCCCTCCCCGAGGACGCCCCGGTCCACTTTTCCCCCTCCCGCTCGCGCGCCTGAGGCCCTTCCGCGGAGTCCGCGGGCGCCTGGGCTGCACGAGCGCCGCGTTGAGGGGGGGGAAAGGGGGAGGGCGGCGTGAGCATTAGGTCGGGCATGTCCCCCTACAGGCGGATTCTGGACGAAACCAAATATCAAAAAACTCAAAAACGTTCAAACAATATTCAAAACATCGTCCCCACACTATTTCTTACTATTCTTGGGTATCCCTCCTGTTGAGGGACAGGCCCGACTTATCGCGAGCAGGCAACAGCGGCGAGCAGAGAAGCCGACGTGCCTGCGGCGCCCCGGGAAGGCCAGGGGACGGCCAGCGGCGCAGGCCACCGGCGGCCCGATTGTCTGCTCCCCCTGCTGGTGGGCGAGGCAGGGCCGGCAGCGAGCAGGGCCTTCCAGTGGCAGGGCCTGTGCTCCACCACCACCTCCAGAAGTCGAAGGAGGTGGGGTCCTCCTCCTCCTCCTCCTCCTCCTCCTCCTCCTCCTCCTCCTCCTCCCCTCCTCCCCCTCTCCCTCCTCCTCCGCTTCCTCCTCCTCCTCCTCCTCCGCCGCCTCCGTCTCCGTTTTCTCCTCCTCCTCCTCCTCCTCCTCCTCGCCCTCCTCCTCCTCCTTCCCCCCTCCAACTCATGGTGGTGGTGGAAGACAAGCCCATCAAGCAAGACTTCTCAGATATCCACACGCGCGTGAGCCCGTCCATCCCTCGCGCGGCCGTCCTTGCGATCGCGCGCCCTGGATGGGAAAGCCGCAAGGCCTGTTCTGCTTGGACGCGACAGCCCTTCGACCCCGTGTGGGAGGCCTGGAAATGGGCACCGACATCAACACGGGGGGCCTGCCTCCATAGGGGCAGGACGATCCTAGACTTCGGTGTTGGTTGTAGTAGCTCGGTCACTATGGAAGCCTGAGTATTGCCACCATCACCGAGATCGGGATCTCCTTCCCACGGTGGGGGCACACCGCCGATGTTGGTGTTGGCGTCGACCTCCAGGCCCGCGACCGTGTGGCTTCTGTGCAAGAGATGGGCGCCGTGGAAGCTGAGAGAGAAGGACCGGCTCGGCCGAGGCACGGGCCCCACGACAGGCACGCGCAGCTGCCGTGGGGCATGGCTGACTCGACGGCTCCGAGGGAGACCGGGGGCACTTTCAGATGATCCTTCCAGGTAGCCCTCCTCCTCGTCCTCCTCCTCCTCCTCTTCCCCCTCCCCCTCCCCTCTCCCTCCCCCTCCCCCTCCCTCTCCTCCTGCCCCGTCCACTCCCCCTGGAAAGGACGCCACCGACTGTCACCGCTGCCCCACCCCGCCCGCTTTCTCCATCGTGTGGGACAAACATTTCCTAGCTTCCCAGTAGACCGAAGCCCGGACGCAGTCGAACATGTGCTGAACAACTATGCTGAACTGGCGTTCTGCTGGAATGGCCTCCGATTGAAGTTTACTCGATATGACAGGCTCTACTATAAACTGATGCGGATTTGGAATGTATGCCGTTTTGCATTAATTGCAATCGACTCCTAAACATCCGCCCGCAGCCTCACTCATGATGTATACCGTTCTGCTTCATATGTCCACCCTGGCCTCGTCGATGTTGTGGAGTTCCAACTTCTCTTGGTTCCGAGGTGCGCACACGGAAGGCGCCTGCTGGGCCAGGGTCTCGAATCGCCTGCCATAACTCGTCATCCCCTTGTTGCGCCTACATCACCCGCCCGGCCACTACCATACCGTGCAACACAGGGGTAATATATAATAGTACGAAACGTAATGATGTGTTGTGGAATGTTTGTATAATAGCGTGGGCTCATGCCTTTAGGGGAAGGGGAGAAAGAACAGGAGAGCAAGAATTAACACACTTTTCCTGTTTAGATGGAGCCTCCCATTTCATGGCTCATCGCCTTTGGACCAAGCCAAAGCCCCATTGCGCAATCCCCCGACACACTGCCGCATGGGACGGCAAGAAGCGCAATATGCACTCCCGAAGCGAACGTTTTTGGCAACTGGACAGAGATACGCACCTGTACGCCATGGCAGCGAAAGACATCAAAACACCGTGCCCGAAAACAGCACTCTTCGCGCACCCAATTCCACAAGCCCTGGAGCGCGCCAGCGATGGCATCTCTTGAGAAAGCAGCCCCCGCTCCCGCCCGAATCCGGCGATCTCTCCCGGGCCTCCGCCCGTCAAAGGCGCGCACGTCCCACTCGCTCCCGCGCCCAGAGCGCGCCTTCTGCTGGCCTCTGCCAGAAGCGAGATGCAGGCACGAAGCATCACCAGGGGGCGGGGAGGAGAAGGCGGGGAAGGGGGGAATGAGGGGGAGGGAGGAACGGGGGAGGGTAAGAGCCAGCGGTGGAAGCAAGGGGTTGGAGGGGTACAGTCGGGGCGTTGACCTAAGGAACCCTAAATAAGGAACGAGGCCCCTTTTTTCCATAAGTTCACCTTCGATTTCCGGTCGAAAACATAAGGAAAATCCAAGGCAAGCTGCGAAACACTTAAGGAACACGGAGCCCCTCCCCAACGAAAAGGGTTCCTTCTTCAGGGCCCCGACTGTACGGGGGATGGAAGCGAAGGGTGCAAGGGGGACGGGGGATGGACTGGGGAGGAGGATGAGGAACAATGTAAGCCCAAGACGCATCAACGATGTTGCAATCCCCCTCGCTTGATCTTCACAGGTCCCTGTAATAATTACCTTCGTGGCGGGAAGTGCATCACTGAAACACAACCGTATGATGATCCTCAACTGCGCCCAAGTATTCCGAAGCCATGCCAGGATCCCATTCCTGGGATACCAACACCCTGAATAAACTTGACTGATGCGAGCTGACCACCCAAAGTCGTGCCAGACCGCTATTCCTAGGCGTTTGACCCTACGAACCCTTGGAATTGCTGCAGGATTTTAGGACGGATGTGCGCGGCGCTAAAGCAGAAGCCACATTTTGAAAAGGAGCTACCCTCCATCCTTGAAGCTGAAGCAACTTCCAAAAAACAAAAACAAAAAACAAAAAAACAAAAAAACGAATGCGCGCGGCGCTTCAGCAACAGCTACATCGTACGCCCTTGGCCACATTTTGAAAACGGGCCGTCCTTTACCCTTGAAGCTGCTGCTGCAGATCCCCAGCTTCGGGGTCATGAGTGGGGAGGACGTCTTAAACGAAACGCCTGGCCCGCTCTAGCGACACATCGGGGGAAACGTCAGCGGGAGTCCGTTATCAGGAGAAGGGATGGGGGAGGAGGATCGGCCCAGCCACGCGCGAAGGGATGGACGGTCAAGAGCAGGGCGAGAACAGACCGCCCCAAAAGTTAAGAAAAATCCGATGCCCCTCGAGGGGGCTATCCCGACGCACGCGGTCCAGGGCACGCGGGGGGGGGGGGGGGGGCAGGGGGAGGAGGAGGAGGAGGAGGAGGAGGAGGAGGAGGAGGACCGTCGCACGGTTGAGGGGGTATGTCAGCTGTCCTTTTACTACTCTGCCTCTACTGCTACCTCCGATGCTGCCCCTCCCGCGTCTGGGGGGGGTGGGCCTCCTGCTCCGCCAGCCCTTCGGGCAGGAGGAGGATGGGGAGGAAGGTCAGCGACCTCGCGCTGCTACGTAGTTCGCGAAACAGATCGTATTAGCCTCTTCTCACACAGTCAGCGGTTCGCCAGTCAGAGTCGGCGGTGCCGCGAAGCAGAATCCAGCCCCGCCCATCAAACTCTGATGGGATCGCAGAGGATGGGCGGTGCTGGTCCAATAACTCAAAACTGAGATAGTGGCTTCCGGAGTCTGAGTCGGACAGACCCTAAAGGTCACTGTCCGAGTTCCGTTCCTTCTAACTACCTGATGTGTTTGCGCACCCTGCCAAACAAAACTGATTTTAAAGCGTGCAGACCACGAAGCCGAAAAACAGCCTCAACCGCGCGGCTCTGGTGCGACAAAGGTCCACAGAGCGGCGACGAAGGCCCTTGAAGCGGGTTCCAAAAACACCAGGTGGGTAAGCACGTGTTCTGCCCGGCAGCTGTAAACCGGCCGCGCCACGCCCACCAGGTCAAGCGAAGCAGAAGCAAGAGCGACGTGCTGCGCATCCCTGCATTACATGGCCCGACTAAGCCTTCGCCTTGTCCATAATACTCAAGGCAACCTCGCCCAACTTCTTCGCGTAATCGTTCACGGCCTCCATATCCTCACCCGTGATGTCGGTGAACTTGGCCTCCGGAGTGTCGTCCTTGCAGTACGCCGCGAGGCACTTGGAGATGCCGACGCACGAGCAGTTGAACTCGCCCACGATCCACTTCTCCTCCTCAGCGGGCGTTCCCTCGGGCGAGGCGAGAATAAAGTCAGTGGTCCACCAAAGCGGGATGGGCTCCTCTGCGAGGCCTAGCGCGGGCATAACCAGCGGCAGGTCGTCCGTCAGGAACTTCTTGGTGAGGTTCGCGAATTTGACCTCGTCTGGGCCGTAGTAGGTGTAGATGGAGCCCGTGCCGCCGACGGCGGAGATTCCCCCCTCCTTGGGCTTCTTGTGGATGATGCCGACGAGGACTCCTCCGATGCAGTTGTAGCGCAGCTCGCCCTCCACGATGCGGGGGCAGAAGCGCTGGTCCACGAGCTGGCCTCCGGCCTCCTTGCCACCCTCCAAGTACTTCCCCACGCCCTTGGACGCCCACGTGCCGGACTTGTCGGTGCGGCCGTTGACGCAGAACTCGATGAACTCCCCCACGGTGTGCTCCTCCGCGTGGTTGTCGTTGGCCTCCATCATGTCCAGCATCTCGCTGTCCTCGCAGCTGCGCTCGCCGAAGCTCGAGCAGTAGTTGCCCTCCTTTAGCTTGATGATCCAGATGCCCTCGCCCGCGGAGCCGCGGTTCTGCTTGATCACGCGCGGCTGGAAGGCCATGGTCTTCTTGAAGCCCGCAGCAAAAGACTCCTCGTCGTAGTACGCCAGGGTGTCCTCGAGGCCGATGTTGAGGTTGGCGATCTTGCAGAGGGCGTCCTTGGCGCCCATCTTCTCCATCACGGTGGGCGATGGCCAGGCCTGGATGCCCTTCGCGCGCAGGCCCATAATGGCGTCGTCGAACTTCTGCTGGTCACCGCCGTCGGCCTTGATCTGGCCTGGGTTGCAGCGGACGATGAGGAAGTCAAACTTGGCGGCAATCTCGAAGAACTTATCGTGCTCCTGGTGAACGTAGTGGATCAATTGACAGCTCATGCCAGCCATGATCATGCCGTTGGCAAAAGGAACGGAGTCGTAGCGGTGGCCGTTGGAGCTCTTGTCAGCGCCGCCGTAGGGCTGATCCCGCACGTAGATCTGGATGACCGCGCCCTTATACTTGGGGGCGGCCGGCTGCGGCAGGAGTCCGAGGTCATCCTTGGCGATCTTCGTGAGCGAGGAGACGTCGACCAGGCCCGCGCCGCCGCCGGAGCCGCCCTGAAGTGCGGCGAGGAGCTTAGCCTTCTCCTCAGCGGACAGCTCTCCCAGACCCGCACTGAGGTCCTCCACACTCGCCTCGGCGATGGCCTTCTGCGCGTCCTTCACGGATGATGCACCAGAGCCCATTGCAGCGAGTGGAGCGGCAAGGGCGATTGCCCAATGCGTACTGGTCGGGGAGTCGCGTGGCTGCACTTGGGTCAATGTTGCTGAATGGCTACGGAAGGGGGAGGATGATGATGATGAGGAGGAGGAGGAGGAGGAACAGCAGGAGGAGGAGGAGCAGCCGAGCAAGCACAGGATGCGCCAACCAAGGTGCATCACACCCTCCCGCTCGAAACTCCCGCTCAAAACTCCCTCCCCAGAAGTCCGTGCACGCCCTACTTTTCGCTACAGGAAGCGCCCCCTTGACCTTTGACAGGCTCCCACCCTATTGGGGGACTGAGGGGGCGGACTTGGCTCAGGGGGGAAATTTCAACCTGGCCTGGAATCGGCGATACATCACCGATATATCGGCGACAGACCCCCCGATAGAGAATCCACATGTTTCTGGGCGGGGTGGGCTATTTAGAAGAAGAAAAAACCACATAAACATGAACTTTCGGCGCTCCGCGCGGATTTCTTGGATTCGCGCTGGACCGCCCTCCCTGGCGCGCGGAGCGCGCAAAGGGAGGCGCCGCCGGGGGGCACAGGCGCGGATCCAAGAAATCCGTGCGGAGCGCCAGAAGTTCATGCTCATCTGGTCTTCTTCTTCTTCGACTGCTGGACCCATACCGCCGACGACTGGGCGATTGGGGGGCGATGCGTCCCCGTTGCGGACCTATTCCCCCCTGAGGCTGCCCCTGGCCTGTGGGCCTGCCACTCAGGCGGACGATGAGCGCACGCTGCCCAGGACCCAGGCATCCGCCGCCTGTTGTGTTTCTCTTGTTTTGTTTTTCCCTTTCCAAGAAAAATGCTCTTCAATACGGTGATTGCATTGGATACGGGAACCTTCGATCACCGGCGGGGGACAAACCTCCCTTTCGTAAACCACCCTTTCGTGAAAACGGCCTGCGACCGAAACCGACGGACCTGGACCCGCAAACATGACTGCCGCGACGCCCTCTCGCGAACCGAAAACGGCCAATTCGCTAATCGACGAGTCGGGGTAGGAGGTCTATCAACCTCCGAGATAAGGAATCCAGGGTCTGGAATAAGGAACCCTCCAGGGTCTGAAGCCTCCTGGGCACGCTCCTCAACGAACGCCCCCACCGTACCGGGTCTCCGGAAGTCCAGACTCTTTCTTCGGGGCCGGCTTTTCATCCCGAGTGGTGTCCTGGTGGTTCCAGGGGCCCACGGAGGCCCCCAAAGGCCAGAAACGGCCAAAACGGGGCTGTCGTCTTTTGCACGGCGCGACCATTTCCCAGACATGCGACGTCCTGATGTTTTCAGGACGACGTCCCTGGAACTCCCGACCCTTTCCCAGGGACCGGCTCTTCGCCCCAAGTCGCTCCCCGACGGTCCCGAGGCCCGCAGAGGGCCCCCCGAGGCCGAAAGTAGCCAAAAACCTCCCGTCCGGATTTTTGTTTTACGACGCGATCGCGCCCGGGACCTGGGCGGAGGACGGGCGCACGCTGCCGAGGACGACCACCCCCGCCGAGTGCCCGGGCGGAGGACGGGCGCACGCTGCCGAGGACGACCACCCCCGCCGAGTGCCCTGGCGGCAGGCCCAGGCCGACCCCACCTCGACCGACAGGCCTCCTCGCCCCTCCCTGGGGGGGACCAGGGGCGCGGCACGAGAGGTCGCAGCAGCACCGCAGGAGGGGAGAAATCCTCCCCCTCCTCCTCTTCCTCCTCCTCCTGCTCCTCCTCCTCCTCCTTCTCGTCCTCCTGCTCCTGCTCCTCCTCCTCATCCTCCTCATCCTCCTTCTACTCCTGCTCCTTTTACTCCTGCTCCTCCTCCTCCTCCTCCTCCTCCTCCTCCTCCTCCCCTTCCTCTTCCCCAAAGAAAGAGAGAGAGAGAGAGAATGAATGAAAGAGAGAGAGATGAGAGATGAGGTGAGAAGACCCAGACATGCTCGCGTCGTGACAGAGAGCGACGGACCACTTGTGCTAAGCATTGGCCTCCGGGGGCCCTGGCGGGGGCCCTGGCCGGGGGCTGGGACCGTCAAAGAACAACTCGGGATGAAAAACTGGCCCTGCGGAAAGGGTCGGGACGTACGGAAACTCAGAATTGAAAAAGATCAAGACGCCAGATGTCTGGGGACGGATGATCGAATATCTCCCCCGACGAGACCAGGAAGCTACGCAGTCAAACAGGAGGAGACGCCACCTCCCCCCGAGCAAGAGACGGAAAACCAGGCCCTGAACCAGAGGCAGCTCAGCGCAGGGGGCGACGCGCGGAAGGTAGGAGGGGGATGACGACGACGACGATGCCGATGTTGATGTTGTTGATGATGATGATGATGATGTTGATGATGTTGTTGTTGATGATGATGATGATGATGATGCTGATGCTGGTGATGAGTGGTATGATGATGATGCTAATGATTATGAAGCTGCTGATGATGATGGTTGTGATGATGATGGTGATGGTAATGGTGATGATGATGATGATGATGATGATGATAATGATCCTGACCATGCTAATGGTGATCCTGGTGGTGATGATGATAATAAGAGCAGTGATGCTGATGAAGAAGATGATGGCGATCATGCAGGTTATGGTTATGATGAAGAGTGTGAGGAGTATGGTTATGTTGATGATGATGATGGTCATACTGATGATCGGGATGATGGTGGTGATGATGTTGACGACGACGATGAGATGAGGATGATAATGCTGATGATGATGGTGATGGTGATGCTCAGGATTACGATGATGTTGATGATGATGACAATGGTGACGATGATGCTGATTATGATGATGATGCTGATGATGATGATGATGTTGCTGCTGACGATGGTGATGGTGATGGTGATGGTGATTGTGATGAATGATAACGAACATGATAGCGGTGATGATGATGGTGCTGCTGATGATGATGCTGATGGTGATGGTGATGAAGGATGGTGCTGGTGCTGGTGAAGCTGATGCTCATGTTGATGCTGATACTGTTGATGATGGTGATGATGAGGAGGAGGCGGAGAAAGAGAAGGAGACGGTGGAGGAGGAGGAGACGTCCTCGGATAACCGCATGCCGATGATAATAAAGGGACCCCCCCTTCAGTGTTTAGAGTTGATTATCGTCGCCCTATACAAAATTCAAATTGGGCGGCGAGCGCTGAGGCCGAACTTCATTATCACCTCGAAACGCTATGTTGAGATAGCAACATCAAGCGATGTTGATATAGCAACATCAAGCGAAGCGATCACACTTTTTCAGGATGTGTCAAGCGAAACCAATAATTTTGGGAGGCAGACTCAAACGAAACGAGCAATGTTCTTATTATTCTTCTACTTTCCTCTTCTTCTTTTATATTTCTATCTGTCCTCACGCTCGCCTGAACTTTTTTTATCCCTGGGGTTGATTATCCATGGAAAATGAAGCACATGAACTACCCTACACGAGCACTTCAAAAATCAATTGTCATAAAGCGTTTGTAAATTAAAACTGATAGATTGGGAACTTTGGATTTTTCCTTTCTTCGTCCTCTTCTTATTCTCCTCTTCTTCTTCTTTCTTATTCTTCTTCTACTGTATTATTCTTCTTCTTCTTTAATATTTCTCTCTGTCCCCACGCTCGCCTGAACTTTTTTATCTCTGGGGTTGATTATCCATGGAAATTGAGGCACATGAGCTACCCTACACGAGCACTTACAAAAAAACAATTTTCATGAGAGATAAGCCATTGTTGAGGATATTTCTATGAAAACTAAACGCCAAGGATGTCTCAAAACGTGCTCGGCTTGGTCTCCTCTTGATCATCTTTTACTTCGAGATTATGCTGAGGTCTGCTGGGCTACTTTTATTATCTCTCCTTGAACCCCGAACTTTATTACCCCCTAGTGTTTATTCTCACGGGCATGAGGTTAACCACACAGTGTGGTCACCGTAACATCGGGAGGCCCAAGACAACAGTCGCGCTGCTGAAAGAAGGAACATTCAATAATAATCGAAACCCCTGCTCGGCACCAAAAAACGCCTGGGTGCAGGAGGAGGGCCAGAAGAACAACTATGGTATGACCTGAGAAACGGCGAGCGACCTCCGAACCCAAAGCGGCCCTTACTTCAGCGTTGGGACAGAACCGCTGCTCCCCAGACCTCTCCCAAGGTGCATTCTGACCAAAGCGTCGAGGAGAACAGGTCTTAAGGTGCATTCTGACCAAAGCGTCGAGGAGGACCGGAGAAGGAAACGAGGGTACCACACCTTCCGATTTCCTCGAGCCCGGGACCCTGTGGAGCGACACTTCCAGTGGTGCGCCCACCAAAAGAGGAGAGGCCCAAGGGCGTGGCGCGAAACGCGAAGATTATGGTAGCGCCGCAGGGAGAAGAGGAGGAACATAGGAGGAGCATGGGAGGAGTATGGGAGGAGGAAGAAGAAAAGGAGGAGGAGGAGAGGGAGGAGGAGGGGAGGAGCATAGGAAGAGGAGGAGGAGGAGGCGGAGGAGAAGGAGGAGGAGAAGAGGAGGAGGAGAAAGAGGAGGAGAGTAGGAGGATGAGGAGGAGAAGGAGGAGGAGGAGGAGGAGGAGGAGGAGGATGTAGGAGGAGGAGTGCAGGAGGAGGAGAGAGAGAGGAGGAGGAGGGAGGAGGAGGAGAGTTGAGGAGGAGGAGAGGAGGAGGAGGGGAGGAGGAGGAGGAGGAGGAGCCGACGAAGGTGCCGCACCCCTCAAACTCCTCACAGGCGGGGCCCTCCCCTGGAGCGCCACGCACACGCGCCCGCCGAGCGAGAGAGTGGGGGGGCGCCCGGGCGGCGCTCGCCTGCTGCTGCTGCTGCCACAGGGACCTCCCCGGCTCCCTCCGCCCGCGCGCAGACACGTGCTGCCGTCTGCGCCGCTCTCGAGAATGCCGTGGCCAACATCCGCCGCCACACCATTGCCGTGCGCAGGAACGGGGGCAGGAGGAGGGAATGACGTAGGAGGGGAGGAGGCGGCGGGGGTGGAGGCGCAGGAGAAGGAGGAGGGCGATGTAGGATGAGGAGGACGAGGAGGAGGACGAGGAGGAGGACGAGGCGGAGGATTGGATTGGATTGGAATGCCCTCGAAAGGGGGAGTGCACAGCACTAAAGCCGCGAGACACCGCGGCCGGCGGGCGCCCGCGCGCGGGCGCGCGGCCGGCCGCGGGGCACTCACGGCGCGGGCGGCGCACGGCGCACGCGGGCCCCCCGCAAGCGGGCAGCATGGGAATAGCTGGCCAGCTCCCCCCCCCACGTTCTGTCGGCCGGAAACGGCCCAGCCGGAAACACCCGGCAGCCGACAGAACGGGGGGGGGGCCAGACCAAGCCAAACCCACGCCACCCACCCCAGGGGCCCAACCCGCACGACACGACGCGACACGACGGGGGAACGAAACGGACGACACGACACGAACGACACGACACGGACGAACGACACGACAGAGACGAGCCGCTGGTCCCGCCCCAAGGCGGCGAGCGCTGGGGGAACCAGCACCGCCCTGGGGGAGGCCCCGGGACCTGGCGACCCCCCCGGGGGAAGGAAACCGCACTTTGGCGGCGTCCCCCGGGGTGCGGGGGCTTTTCGCCCCTCGGGCCCGGCGCTCCCCGCCTGCGCCAGGGGGACCCGAGGGGGACGAGGCGGAGGAGGAAGCAGAGCAAGAGGAGGAGGAGGAGGATGAGGAGGGGGGGGGCGGGGGGGAGAAGCCAAAAGAAAGGTTCACCGCCAGACATCTTGGGCTTTCAGGCTTAGGGAAAAGGAGCTCCCGGCCCGCCTCGCCCGTCCGGCATTCCGCCGCCGCCAGGCCCCCGGGGGCATGGTCTCCCTGGCTACCTTGCTCGCGTCTTCAACAGATGACGACTGCATGCGGCGGCCGCCAGGCCCCAAGGGGCCCAGTGCTCCCTGGGGTTCCTGCTTCTGGTTCTCGGGTGCGGATCGCTCGAAACAAAATGATTAGTGCTTCTGTGTTGTGATTGTGTGTGGTGTGTGTTTGTGTGCGTGGTCTGTGTGTCTTGAATGTGTGTGTGTGTGTGTGAACGCGTGCCCTGAGAGAGTGAGAGAGAGAGAGAAAGCCATGTCTGCCAGCTGCT